AAAAAAAAAAAAAAAAAAAAACAGAGTTTAGATGAAATTGCTACATTAGGCAAGTTCTGCAGATTAATATTTGGTTAAATTCATGAGAGGTTATAAAAGAACTGTAATAAGAGTTCCTATGAGGTTGAACTAGTCAAACCAAAACCCTAACTGCCTAACATAAGGTATTAAAAACACCTAATATCCCAATGTTTACACAATAATCATTGCTATTATTACAGGTCTAAAAAATTTTACACCACAGTAGTGATTTTTTTTAAAGAATTATTTATTGGGACCAGCAATTAGCGTAATGTCTATGTCACTGGACTCCCACGTAATCAACTGCAGTTCGAGTCCCGGACCTGGTGGCTTAAACTCATGCCGGGTGCGTGTGCGTGCGTGCCCAAGATCCAGAGAGGAGAATGGAGGAGAAGGGATTGCGGCGTGGCCATCCCCCCTGGGGGGTGGTTTCTCGCTTTCTGTCTCTCTGTCTCTTTCTGTCTGTCTGGCGAGCACACGCACCCTATAGCAAAAACCTCTCCAGAAAAAGAAAAAAATATATTTATTTATTTAATTTCACTTATTATTAATTTGACCAGAGAGAGATGGAAAGAGAGAGAAAGGGAAAGGGAGAAAGGAAGCCACCAGGCCTGGGACTCGAACCACGGTCGGCCATGTGGGAATCCAGTGCTTTTAACCACCACTCACCTGTCAGTAGAGTAGTGATAATTCTTATGTCAACAAGGCATCCCTGGGAAAGGGCACAGCACAACTACAGCACCAGATAATTTGGATTATTTCTGATCTGCCTTAGATCTACCACTTATATTCTACAAAATCAAAACAAAAGAATGGTATTTCCCAAACTTTGTTGATCTATTTCTCTAAAGCCCAAATCCTTTAAGTTTACTTGCCTGTCAGGAGCTTAGGCCTTGTATGTAAAGATAGGAAGAGTAAAAAGACAAGGGAAAACATCATCCAAGAGAAGACTAGCAGAAAGATGAGGACAGTAAGATGCAAGGTTGCAAGAGCTTTCTGAGTCCCTTCAAAGGACCTGAGACACCATCTACCTATTCCTTTAACCAAACTGTTATCAAGCACAACCCAAGGAAGTGATACCATTACTCTAGACCTACCAGGAGAGTGGTCATCTAAACACAGACTCTTGTTATCCTTGTTCTGCTCTGGTGTTTCAGGTTTATTTACGCCACTCTCTGCTTCACTGGGATCATTCTGGAGTATAGTTTCTTTGATCAACGGCATCTTGATGTTACCTGGAAACTGGGAATAGAAGAAGAGGAAAAGTGGGCTAGCCCGATGGTGTGGTGAAGATAGCTAGATCCCACAAGGATGACCTCCTGGTTTGAGTCCTGGACCCAGAAGCCTGAAAATCACAATGGGTGTGTGTGCAACAGTGCCCAAAATCCCAAGAAGAGAATGCGGATTAATCTGAGATAGCAATGTGGCCATAGGGTGCTTTCTTCCTTTCTCTCTGATGAATAGATGCACCCTATAGTAAGCTAAAAGAAAAATAAATAAATAAAGGAGAGATAATCTGTATAATATCTGGCTCTGACCCGGGGCAAGGGAGAAGGGGGTCCCTTCAATTTCCATTGTGTGCCCTGGTGACTGATCTTGTTACTCCCAGTTGAGGAGATTAGCTGGGGTTAGGAACATGGACTTCAAGGGCCTCTCACAGGAACTAATGTAGTCTTCAATCAGCCCTTGGGAAGGAGAACTTGATACTGGTGGGACTGCCTTTAGTAAAATCAAAGTTGATGCACGTTGGACAAACAAAACCAAAACAAGGAACAAGGCCCAGAGACAGACAAAGACTCATAAGATGGAAGACATACTGCACATTACTGGAGCTAGGAAAGGAATCTTCTTTGACTCTGGCTACCTTTACCCAGTTTTCTTCTTCCTCATTAACTCCTTTCCATATCTAACAGAAGAGGGCTAGACTCGGGATGGGTACCGACCCCCCTCCTATCCTCCAGACCCACATAGATCCCTCACCTCTTACTTGTCCTTGACCCAGTACCCAACTAAACAAGACTCTTTGCCTCCTCATCCTGGTCCTGGGATGTACCATGTCTGCCAGGGCGAGAGGGGAGATCATCAGTTAGGGGTTGGGCTGAACCACTGAGATGATAAAGTCTACCTGAAGTACACCCCTACCCAAGAAATTAGGTGGAAAAGTCCCAATTACGAAAACAAAGGGCGACCTTTATCTGGGCGACCAGGCGGGGTCACATACCCAGGGTGCCTTGGAAACCAAAAGAGCCTGAAAGGCAAGCAGGATCACACCATTGGGTGATGAGGTTGGGGTGTAAGTTTGGCGCGTGGTGGAGGGGAGTCCCTTTGAGGAGGCTTCAGGTTTATACTGTCCCTCACAGGCTTGAATCCCCTCAGGAGCTTGGAATTAATATCAAATCATGTTACTTTTCCATAGGCGAGAAAGTGTTCAAAGTTTTTATCCCCGTTTTCCCAGAAAAAAAAAATACCATTTAAATAGCAACTTAAGAAGGGAAAGGAGCATTTTTAATTTGTTTCACTTCTTGCTGTTGTATTGCTGTAAAAATGAAGAACCAACAGGGTTACAAAATTCCAGGATTCTGGTGGTTTTTTTTTTTCCTTTTATATAAGTGAATCCTCCACACAAGATGAAGGAGAGACAGATGAACTGTTAAAACTCTCATTGTACAAATATGGAAATGAATAATAATTTTAAAAGGCTGATCATAGAAGCTGTGTGGTGAGGGGGAAAAAGGCCATAAACCTGAGAGGGACCCTAGGTTTTGGTTTGGATTCTTCCAACTGAATTCTTGTCATGGTCTTCATTACAATCCAATTGTGAGCCCTGGAGTTCATCCATAAAATGAGAATGCTGGAATAGACAACTCTGAGTGCTATTGTGTTGTTCATTCATTACTCCTAGTCTGTACGGTGATGTGAGAACCCTGGGTTGGCTTGCTTCTAGTTTTAGGGGAGGAAAAAAAAAAATATATATATACACTATAGTAAAAAGCTTCCACACTATACCATTTCATCTCTTCATCTCTCTCCTTTACCCTGGCTTAAATACTTAACACATTAACTTTATTCCCATAAAACAAGACCATATTGAGACCAGCAGATGGCATAATGGTTACATTGCTGGACTCTTGGATAGTTGACCATGGTTGGAGTTACGGCCCGGGACTTAAAACTCAAAACTCACTCCAGGAGCATGTGCGTGCATGGCCATGGGGAGGGGAGGGATTTCTTCTTTTGTCTCTGACTCTATCTCTCCGGCAAGTATACATGCCCTATATCAAAAGTCTCTCTCTCTCTCTCTCAAAAAAAAAAAAAAGACTATATTTTGACCAAATTCTCATCACCTTCCTTGTCTTGTTAGTGACAATAGTAGAGCGTGGGTGTCTTACATATATGGAGTTTGGTTATAAGGAAGAGCCCTAAGAACTTTCCAGCCTAAAGAAAGTTCAAACTACTCTTCAGGCATAAGATGATATAAAGTTGGGTAATAAAGTTACTGTTTATTTGAAGAGTTATGCGGATTCTGAATCCCCTCCTCATCTCTTGGTATTTGCCTCAGTAATGGAAGCTTTGAGACAAATTGCTCTCATACCAAACTCAGGAGAAATGTTTAAATATATTTTACTTGGTATGAACATCAAATTTTACATTTATAAGACAACTGTTTCACTATACTAGAAATTGATTTTTTTCATGTTAAAAATGACAGTTCTATTTGGCTTATTCTCAAGAAATTTTTCCAGAATGACACCAAGTCATTTTTTCACAAAAAAGGACATGGTTTAAAAGACAAAGTCTCCCCAGTGGTGATTATTGAAATTCTTTGCATACTTAATTCAAATAAGTTAAACAGTCTATTTAAGTATCTTTCAATGCCAAAATCCCCTGGGAGACTTAATGGGGGGGAGCATAGAAGTGTATGAGTAATAGAGGTGGGGAAGTAGATGAAAATGGAAAATTATGTTTTTCCTAGGGTTGATACTATATTTAATAATCTTTATCGTCGATAATTTTCAAGAACCCATTAGACAAAAGTTACAAATGGGGAAGAATAGAAAGATGAAGTGGAAAAACTATGCTCTTTTCCCCTCTAAGTCTTATTTAATAACTGATTTTATGTAATTACATGTAAAACTCTCTTACATTCAAAATCCATATGCTCTATATACAACACTACCTGTACAATAGGTAAGAGAGATATTACTTTGAACTTGTTTAATAGATGAACAAACTGGGGATAGGAGAGATTAGGTAACTTGCTAAAGATCACACAGCAAACAAGGATGATAAGTCTTGAACACAGATCTTCTGATTTTTACTGTTTTTTTTTTTTTTTTCAGACACTACCTTGTCTCTATGGCTAAGACACTGTGTACCAAAATTTAGAAAAATCTAATTTGCAATGGAGTGCTAAGTACCAGAAGTTGGTTATATACAAGTATGATACTGAAAGAAGACCAGGAGGAGGGCAACATATTCCAGGTGTTTCAAATCAAATACTAACCCAGCTTTGTTATAAATAAGGCTTTAAGAAAAGTTATGCCAGAACCTGCAGGTGGCATGGTGGTTAGGGACACTGGAGTCCCACATGGCTGACTATGGTTTGAATCCCGGACCTTACAGATTGCTTTGTTGCTTTTTAACTTCCTTTCTCTCCCTCTCCCTCTCCCTCCACCCCCTCACCTCATTCTGGTCAAATTAAAATAAATAAATAAATAAAGTTATATAAAATAATTCTTTAAGGAAAAAAGTTATGCAGTATTACTTGGACTTTTAAGGTGATGCAGTCTCTGACTGGCTGACTGGCTCAGCATTCAACCTTAAGACCCTCTCTAAACTTTCGTAATGGGTAATATGGTATTTATCAGATACATTCCATCATTGCGCAGGACAGCCCTTTCTTGGTAAAACAATATTCTACAACAATGTATATAACACAGAAGGTAAATATTTTTTCATTCTATCCCAAGAGCAGATAAAAAATCCCTAATCTCAAAAGTGGGGTCCAAAGTGTTCCTTTCCATATACTATTTTGTTAACTAGCAATAATATATCTGTTTCTTTTCATATAAATACAGCTGTGAATCTATAAGTAAAAATTCTTGCCTTCACTCCCCCCCTCCTCGGCCTACCCCCCCCCCAGAGGACTATATATACTTTTTGGCTTTCTTTGTTCCTTGGCACACTATTAGTTACACATTATGGATATACATACAACAGTTTTCAAAGCCATTTAAGAGAATTTCAAGCCTACAGTAGGGAATATTTACCCTTTTTATGTGCTTTAACCCAGCACCGATACTATAATCTATTATCATCTGTTAAATACCATTTCATGTATACTACTACAAATAGGAAAATTACTTAAATTTTATTCACAAGGATGTAAAAAAGAACAATTAAAAAGAGAAGTATTTTAAGATGGTGATAAGCAATTCAGAACCACAGACTTTGAGAAGTATACTAGATAAGAATAATCTAGTTAAAATACAAGAAAATCTCAACATTTCATTTTACAACAGATTTGAGACTCAGAAAGCTTAAATGACTAACAAAAGGCTACATTAGTTTATGAAAAAGACAAGACTAGAACCCATATCTCAGGCTGTTTTTTCAACAATAAGAGAGCTATGCAAGAGCAAAAACTGGTCATTTAAGCACTTAGCGTTAGCTAAATGATAGACTATAGAATGAAAAGCAGTAGGAGATGAAGTTAAATAGAACCCAAAATTGCAATACTTCACAGTGTAGAGGAAGATGAACAGCTAACCAAAGTGACGAGATCATGTAAATACAGGGTGGTTTCTTTAAATAAAACCACTCAGAATCATAAACATAATTGTTTCATCATTATCTCTTTTACAGTAGTACCCATAAAACTACACATCAATATTATTTAATCTTTCCTTTTTTAAGATTATTTTATGTTCTCATGAGAAACAGACACAGAGAAAGAGAATGACAAATACCCACAACCGTCTCATTCCGAAACCTAACCCCAAAGTGTTTCCCAGGCAGCCAGGATCATAGGAACATGTGTGGCCCTTGAGTATACAAGTTGACCCAGAAACCAAACCCCAGTCTTCCATATAGCTTCTAGCATTGCTGAGCATTGAGCTGCTACTATGCCACCACACTGAGCCTACTTTTGTCTTTTAACAGGTATGTTTTCTTCAAAAAAGTCAAGAGGAGTATGAGAAGGTTCTAGGTAGTCTGGGGCAGCCTGGAAGTGAAAATCTAACACTAAAAGTGAAGTACAATAGACAGAAAAACCATTAGAAATCTTTGAGAAAGGCGTTTCAAAGGACTGGAAGATGAAGCTCCTGGCAGTGACATTTAGTGTCTACCTCTCTATTCATTATCTCACTTCATTTTTTTCCCAGCAATACTAGAATTTCTTTAATTTTTCCCATTCCGAACAGGCCATGTTCCTTCCCACCTCAGGAAAAGTGAAGTACAATAGACAGAAAAACCATTAGAAATCTTTGAGAAAGGCGTTTCAAAGGACTGGAAGATGAAGCTCCTGGCAGTGACATTTAGTGTCTACCTCTCTATTCATTATCTCACTTCATTTTTTTCCCAGCAATACTAGAATTTCTTTAATTTTTCCCATTCCGAACAGGCCATGTTCCTTCCCCCCTCTGGGTTTTAAACATGCTGTTTTTTTTTTTTCTTTTCTTTCTGTGGTTCTTTCATCTTTCCTAGCTTTCTTTCTCCAGACTGACTCCTCATTGTTCAAGTATCAGCTTCCAAACCCTGAATTCCTCAGAGATCCTCTATGACCCTCCAATCTAAACAAGAGTTCCCTGTTAGCCTTTCTCTTAATATTAATTATGTACTTTTAAATTTTCATTTTATTTTTAATTTTGCTCTAGAGGGTGTGTGCTCACCACAGACAGTGAGAGGGAAAGTGAGAAATCATCCCCCGCCCCCCCCATGGGGATGGCCATACTGCAATCCCTTCTCCTCTTAAGATTTGGGGAAAGCACACATGCTAGGCATGTTCCTTAAGCTGCCACTCATAACACGAAGTCAGCCA